AAAAAAAAAAATTACCGAATTTTATCAAGCAGCTATTGAGAAATATTCGCTAGAAGTTTAAAAAAACACTTCGTTTAGAATGATATATCTCGTGATTGTCCGATGTACCTGGCTTTAAGCGACCCCCAAAATTAGTATATGAAACCACACGCCTTCACGTTACTCTCGTAACACTACGTTTGTTTGTACCATTACATTATTTATGTATACTACCTATTTGTTTAGAGTTAACTATAAAATCAATTGATATTCAAATAAGTGATATGTATAACAATGTGATTGAGATTAATAAAATAGTAATAACTAGTGCGTTACTCAATAGTATTATTTCTATTCACTTCTCTTACATTGGTTAAAAAAAGATGTACAAATATTTACTTGTCTAATTTCCTAGAAAATTAGAAAATAAACCAAATTAAAAAACATTTATATATTGTGCTAAAACAATTAATTATCAACATTACATCTTATTAGCGAATACGCATGTGGAAGTAGTTGATCAATTTGCGTATGTACAGTAAATATGTACGAAGTAGCATTTTAAAGCAACTAAGTGAAATATTGTATAAACGAAGTTCTAATCAACTATTGATGTTTAGTGAATATTAAGAATTGGGGTTTAAATACTAATAAACTTAGATTTTACTGGCTTCATAATTATGAGGTTGAATCCTGTTCAGGGACTCGTACAAATTAATTAATGCAAATTTAGATTATGCAAATTAAAACAAATTTTAAGGTAAAATTCACGTGATATTCTATAATATACTAGATTTGATTAGCTAATAATGTTGGATAGTGTGCATAATAAAGATTCCAAAATATTTCCGATGAGAAAAGCTAGGTCAAAATGAAATTTTGAGTAAATTTCCGATATTTCCGAAAAGAATTTAAAAATCGCAATTAATATATAGTTAATTTATTATTACAAATTAATACAAATTTTTGAAATAACGCAAATAAAGATTTCGTATAACAAAAAATATTATTATACTGTGTCACCGTATCAAAAAAATTTAAATTAGATGTATCTCAATAGTTATTGAACAGTAATGGTCAAATATGTTGACTACGAATTTCCAAGATATTTTTTCTTTGTTAGGCATAATTTTTGGTTTATTTCTCAATGTTCATTCATTTAAACCTGAACCACGAGGAGGTCATATGGTAACATTAGCAAATGATAGAATTTATTTCTTTGGTGGTTCACGGCCTATACCTATGGCCTCACCTGCATGGAATCAAACTCATCAATTTAATCTATCAGATGAAGTGTTCTATTTAGATCTTTCTTCTTCATTTTCGGTTGATTTACCTCCATTCATAGATCTTTCCGCTACTTCTCGAATGCCATTTGGCTCTGAAAAGGGATCAACGGTATTAGGAAATAGAGGTATACGTATATTTCTTATTGGTGGGGTGCAGCAAAATATGGAAACATTTGGCTATAACACAACAAATTCTAGTCTTTGGATATATAATATAAATTCACAACACTGGGACACTAGTGGACCAGGAACATACGGACCACCACTTCCAAGGCGTAGATCCACTGCAACAGTTATTGATAAAAATGGTGTAATTTATATATATGGTGGAAGGGTGCAGGTGGACACTGTTTCAGATGTGTTTACGATATTTGACGATTTTTTCACCTTTGACACCTTATTATTAAAGTGGTCAAATTTAACTGATCACCCATCTAAAAGGAGTCATGCATCTGCTACTCTCATGCCTGATGGAAACATTATTTATATAGGTGGTGTTACTCAGTCTGCCCCCGGTGAAGACGCAAACCGTATAAGTATGAATGATGTGAGTAATTATTGAAACTAGAAATTCAATTATTTACAATGAAACGAATCGACTTTTGTGTCATTAAATTATGAAATATTGTAATTAATTTAGATATATATATTTGATACTCTTGATTCAACCTGGTCTCAGAAGGTATATATAATATCTTTATACAAATTCCTTTGACTTGAAGCTTTTAATAAATAAGTAAATTATTTATTAACTCTAGTCCGCTTTGGGAGACGACATTGATCCTCGTGTAGGGCACACTGCTCTCCTAGGTAAATAAATTGCATATTTTTATATTCATAATTCTAAATAATTATAATTAACGTTTATGTGCATACTTTAATTTAAAGCACCAGATAATCACACTATAGTTATCTTAGGAGGCTCACAAAGTTATGGATATAACCACACTACACCACACCCAATTTTTCTATTGCTAGATGTTAAATCTGAACCCTTTCAATATTCATCACCCCAAACCTACGGAAATTCCCCTCCCCCCTTGGCATTTCATACAGCGACGCTGTATGAAAATTATATGATCGTGGCATTTGGTAATGATTTATTCACTAAGATTATTTTGCAATCATGTAAAAATGCATACACGGTCGCTTTCATATTTTAGGCATGCCTTTCATAGGAAAAAAAAATGCTATAATACAGCTCAAAAACATATTTCAAAAAATAAATTATCCATATTTAAGAAAAAACGAATATATAGATAGTTTGTTAAAATTATAGGGAAGCAATTATCAAAATTACTCTATAATTTTTTTTTATTTAGAAAGCTTTTCAAAATGTGTGAATCATATTTTTCTAATATGGATGATTTATTTTAATAACATAACACAGAATTAAATAGAAATAATACTGTAATAGACAGGTATTCTATGAGGTGTACCTTAAGTATAAAAGCCAACTTTCAATTAATATTAACATCCACATTTAATGAATGCTTTTTTAAAAAAAATTTCTATAGGTAATATCACCAATGATTCTGGATCTCCAACAAATACGTCATCTAATGTGTATTTAATGAATTTATTAAATTACACATGGGTGACGCGATTTGAAAAGATTTCTTCATCCAACTCTACAGATACTACCTTTGCCGCAACTATTAATATTAAATTGGTTGCTATTATTGGCAGCCTTGGTATTATTATTGGTATTAGTATAATAGTATACTTCAAATGTTATAGGTGTAAGCCTAATAATATTAAGAAGAGAAAGATTATTATAAAACCAAAACAATCCGAAGAGGAACAACCCCACTAATCAACAATATTAGAGGAATGTTTATAGAAACTGAATTTCTTTTTGTAATTAAATTATTTTGTGAAATTAAAGTCTTAAGATACATTCAAGACATTTTATTAACCAAATTATTGAAGCCTTGTAAAAGATATTCATAGATTAATATCTTGATTAAAAAGTTTTTAAGCTAAAAAAAGTTTTAAAATAAAAAAGTTACTTTAAACGTTTCATGTAACAACCTCCACCAAATTTAAGAAAAAATAATGTTGATTATAATTCAAGACCAAATTTAATAATACAAATTAGGGGTCTGCAAGCAGTGTTGGAAATCCATGCTCACAGTGAACATAAATTTTTGAAAAAAATCATAATTTTTATATTTTATGTTCACTAGTGTGAACATAAGAAATCAAAAATTTTATATTTTATGTTCACATAGTGTGAATATAAATTTTAATTTCTTATTTATAATTTATTAATATAAAATTGTATTTATGCTTATACAAGTGTAATAGAGTGCTGCTGGCCCTAATCAGTTACATGATTAAATATAACATATCTATATCTATATTAATATAAAACAAAAAAAAATTTATAATACCTTTATAAAATTTGTGAATTTGTATATACTATAATGATAAATATAATAAAAAGCTCAATAATTTCTATCGGTAGTATCATGATTGTTATGCATAGTTAGCATTCCATTACTCAGTCTAATATTCCTTTTTGCATTAATATAAACCTGGGTATCCAGTTTATTTATAGTGCTAGATAATAGTTGTTAGATGAAACTTTTTTTGCATGATGATGAAAGACAAAAGTCAAAACTCTAAATTCTTCTGACAAAAGATGAAACCTTAATCTTAAAATGACAAAACCTTATGTCTAAAAAGATAAAACCCTAGTGCTTGTACTAAAAAAAAAAGCTATTTTCAATGAATTAATATTCTTAATTTTAGTATCTGAATTACATAAATGCCAGCATTCTAGAGTTTTTATAAACCAGTTGGAATAACCTTGTCAAAAAATAACTGGGGTAAAATCACTATCCAAAAAGTTTCAATCATCACATGATAAATCTATTGAGCACTAAAAAGTCATATAACTTGAATTTATAGACTAAAAATAATAACGACAAGTAATAATTTTGTTATTTAAAATAAACTTAATAAACATAATAATATATTATTTTAAATAAAGATTAAATATATTGATTTTATAAATAAATAACTATTCTATTAATAGATGATTCACCACTCAGCAGAAGCATGATCTTAGTAAAATGTAACTCAGATTACTATATAAATTAACTATGGTGCGAATGTGGCAATTGTCAAAAGTAAACATTTTTCATACTAAGTTAATCATCTTTCTTGCTTAAAAAACTTTTGTAAAGCTTGTCAAGACGCATCTAATGGTGGTT